GGACAGCTCATATCCGCTCGTTGGAACCAAATCACTAATGTCACCGCCCCATAATTTAACACTTAGCATGAAAAGACATGCTTCAGGTAGACTTGTAATCGGTTTGGAGTACTTCTTTCCCAGAAGCAGTAATAAGTGTCTGAAATCTTATTAATCCGCTGCATTCCAGCGGGGACCATAAACTGAAATATTACAGCTTCTGACGCAGAGCATAAATCACCTTCATAAACCAGCCGATCCGCTATTGGGGTAGTAAGGCTATATTGATCAACACTATCACACGCCTCCGGGACAACTGAGACATTTGGCCATCACCCACCTGATATATGTTGCTTCATTGTGAGAAATCAGTGTAAGCTGTAAATCCTAAACAGCTGATTGGACTGAACGAGGTGATTCTACGTTTTTAACCGTTTATCCAAAGAGGAGAGGTGGGCGTAGGCTTCAATTCAAGAATTCAAAATTTTGTCATGTCACTCAAATTTCAGACAAAGTTTGTCGCCTACCTTCCGGTTTACACACATATAATAAAGAAAATCAAAATAATGAGTTAAAGTCATCAGTTGTGGTCCAGACCAGTTCAATCGCAGAAATGATCATAAGAGTACAGCAACGTTCGTTTTCTATTCGAGCCATTTCATGAACGCAAACTCGGGCGTTGGATGTTGTCATTTTTCTGAATGATTTACATGAATCCCGCCAATCTGCAGAACCTGCGCATTCGAAGTCCAGTCTTACCATGCTGTGTGAGCGTAATTTATGAACAGCACTCTTCGAAGTTGTCCAGATGAGCTTCAGGACATTTCGAAGGATGATGTATTTCCAGACTGCACATGAATTGGCGATTTTCAAAAGCGCCTCACTATAATCGAACCTCGGTGCCTTTGCCGTTTAAAGCAACCAACCGAACTAGAGGATTACACGATAGGGCAAATACCTCTGTGGCGATGAGCGGTCGCGGTAGCCACGTACACTACTTTGAACCTCCAAACGATCGGCTAATGTGCAGTGGTAATCCAGGCTGACAGAAGTCGTTAATTTTCTTTTGCTCCAGTCGATGCTGGAACGCTTTAAATCACGTTTAAATAACGGGAAATTTATTTCATCATGCCCCCGACCATCTGAACGTAGGATGACCAGTCATGGACAAGAAAGGAGGAGGTCCCCGGCAATCCTTGATGAATGACATCAGAAAAAGGAAACAGAATAATATACTTCGTATCTGAGAAACTCTGTGCAATACTGTATCCAACCTTCCATATTCATGTTGTCTGGAGCCGCAATGTTAGTAGGTCGGTTTTGAACTCCGGAGGTGCCGGATTCGAATTCTCTCAAGGAACAATCTTTCTCTTAACCACGATTTTCCTTGCGCAAGGAATTAACCTCACGCAGCATCAGCACAGCCAACCGAGAAAAGAGTAATAAGTCGATGGCTTGCAAACACCAAGCATAGCACGGTGTTTGGGGGAATGTTACGGTAATGATGTCTGATGCGAGTATCTATTATTGTTACAGTTGGCGTTGGCCCACCTGATTATCCAGTATAGCAATCCGCATAAGATGTAAACCCTGTGTTTGCTATCTTTCATCTGATTGGAAGGGGACATTTGTCACCGTCGCGATGGTGAATTTCGTGTACTTTAAATTTCCGTGTTCCATACTGCCTCGTGAAATTCACCGATGTCAGTTCTATGCGTCGGTTCACGTCTCTGGTCAGTCTCTGATCATTGTCGTTTGACGTAATCTCGGAGATTTTTCAGATGAGCGACCTCTATCGCAGTAATATTCCATACCATCGTCCTTTTCGGTTGCTCCGGGAGCTCTCAGTCATGATACTGTCATGATATTGCATATTTCTGATAAGGTACCGTTGGCAACTTCAAACTAAATCACGGACTGCTGAGACGTCCTTCACTCTCTCGTTCCACGGACCAAGCAAGTCGACGGCACAACAATGTCTGTCGTGTTTCGCCCGCGCGAACATCTTGTGAGCAATAAGGTAGAACTAGAGGTCGAAACGCAACGTTCCCTACCGAGTCTCGACATCTGGACTCGTCGACATCAGCTTTCTCATAATTTCTGCCAACTGTTGTTATTCCTTGTGATGATTGATGTTCGAAGGATTCTTTCATGTACTGCTCATCATAACGGTAGCGTCGGTTGCCACGTCACAACACCGAGCTGGCAACATCCAAAGTAAAAAATTGCATGCCAGGGTGTTGATCGGAGGCGGGTATTTTTCTTAGCCGTAACGACACGCGAGTCACTTTGAACGGAGTAGTGCCAATCAGGGTAGAACAGAAGTCTTGATGCCAACAGCAACGAACACTATGGCTTCAAACTCGACTATGAGGGCTGGAGTCTACATCCTTAAATATCAATACATAAGCCATGAGGAAATATTTTAATTTGTTGCCTGTCTGCGGAACAGAGTGCGAACTGATTCAAAGGCTATATTGGCGACTGATTCAAATAGTGATGAATAGAAACGGATAAGAAACATATATTTCAATAACTTGAACGACCGAGATTTGGCAGATTGGCGTTGTCGAAACTTGTGCAGTATGAAGAAAAGGAAAGGAAGGTTTGTAGCGGTTGAAAATCGGTCTTCCTTACACTAACGTCTTGCAGCTAATACTAGCACCTGTGGATTCATAAAGTCAGTGGTGAGGGGTGGGGAGAGGAAGATGCTGATGATCTCCATTTCTGTGTCATTAACTAGAAGTGCCTTATTTGTAAAGGCAGAATCGACAACCGTTATGTGACAAGCATAGTCTGTAATCTGTTTTCTTCCCACTCATTGATCAGAGCGGTACTCATTTATCAACCTCAGGAGGAAAAAGGCGAGTGGTCCCAATCAGGGTCCAAGCCCAGAACCTTTCGGTTTTACGTCTGACGCTTTGCTGACCGAGTAAGCCTGGTCGG